TGTTGAATTAACGAGGTTATTGTCAATTAGACTAATGCTGTTGATACAATACCACTTTTTCCGCGCCTGTACATTTTTTTTTTTTTTTACAAAAATTCAGTCAACGAGAAATTCTTAATTCAATGCCCGGCTCGCGAGACTCGACGGCAAATCTCGGAAAGCTCGGCGCTCGGTCATATCTTCTCTCTTCGACAAGGAATTCGGGACTCGAGCAGAGCATGCATTTATCTCTACGATACACTGTATTATGTCTGCATGTGACCTGCTGCATCGTTTTTCTTTTTTTTTGCGATAAGTGAATATTTAATTAGATCTTGGAAACGCATGAAGCACCGATTGTCAATTTTTTCGTTGCTCTCGTCATCGGCGCTTAGACTTTAGCATGCTAAGTGAAGAATTTCACACTTGTTTGTGTGCGCGCGCGCGCGCGCGCGTGTGTGTACGAGATGCATTGTCGCAATTATATCCATCCCCACGCCCTGCAAACCTTGGACGCAACGAGTGACACTGATTCCCGGATTATGCCACTGGCAATCCCCAGTTTGTGTGCGCGTGTGCGTGTCGCACACACGTCGGCTGTTTAACCGAATAATCAGGGTCAGAGTGTCATCAGAATTATATCATCTGCGCGGAAAAAAAAAAGCGATCGCCCGGCAGCTCGACCGACGAGAATAATTTTCTTTAACCATACGGTCATCGTCCGATGAAAGTTTTCCTCGTAAAAGATACTGTTTTATTAAAAAATTACGACTCTTTCGCCAATTTCTAGAATTGGAATAGATTTGGACTTTGTATTATTATCATTGCCACCATTATTATCCAGATATACATGTAATTGTGATTATTGAACGCATAATTATAATTGCATGCACACATATCTGTATGTATCTATATGTAAATAATTCAGACTATTTATTAAAAATATTTTTTCGGTGATCGACGGGGCGTCGATTTCAAATTTTACCGCGGGGAAACGTCACTCTTTATTCCCCCCCCCCCCCCCGACAAGAGACGACAATAATGGAGTCTCTTTGTACAGTCTCTAGTCAATAATTCTAGAAAGAGAAATGAATAAAACGGGTTCCGCGATGCAAAGACGGCGGGGGGACCGCGTTTCTTACGCGGGTAACGTTCCGCGCCGCGGTTTCACGGTGGTCTCCGACGGTGGATTCCGCGGGAAGTCCAACGGGAAATAATGGGGATGTATTTTGGGACCTCGCGGGCGGACCGTTGACCCCGGCGGGACATTTGCGGGATTCCGCGACGCCCCGTTCGCACGCGGCCAGATACACGCGTCTCGACGCTCCAGAAACGGCGTCCTATGTACAATATCTCATCGTGCACTGCCACCGCCGTCAATTTACTTATAGTCGCACGCGCGACGACGACGTCGACGTGAACCCATGAATTTTGCATCCGTCCCCGACGATCGATCCCCGAACCTGCGCGAATCGCGTATCTACGGCCGCGCCACCCGATATATTTAGCTCATTTACGCGCGACTAGCATTAAAATTCGGAAACCACTCGAGTCACTCGGGGAAGTCGTTGCTCCCTGTCGTTCGATCGTGCGCGAAATCGCGAAGTCTCTAATTACAAGCCCGGGCATCTGTTCCGAGTGAAACACGCGTACGATTCGCTTCGAAAATTGTCCCGCGCCAACATCCTTTTCCAAAGTCTTCGAAATGAATAACGTACCATTTAATTCAATGGCTTTCTCGAACTGTAGTTACAAATCGGTTGCCAGCACACGAGTCTGCAGCGCGTTTCTGCGTGTGATCGATTAAATTTTACAGTACAAATAATTATTCTAATAATTATAATTGGTTGCAAATTCCGAGATCGATCTCCACCGAAAGTCTCTTCGGTTGGATAGCATTTGGCGCCGTTGGACTCCTTTATCTATCACTGAAAGGCCCATTTTGTTGAGTGAAACAAAATTTCGTTGACTCAAGTGATTTTCTTGTTTGGATCTGAACAAATAAATCGTGTGCGCGTGTTTTAAACGCTATCCCGCGTGAAATGATCGACTAGGTAATGATACCGTATGACTCCGGAGGACTTATTGCCGGAAATGTCCCTAATTACGTTTCAACCTCGATCGGGAGATATTCCGTTGCGTCGCTTTGCGTAAGGAACGGGCGTCGGGGCTCAACTCGTGCTGTTTACAGCCGAACAATGGTGAATCGACACTCGAGGGAAGCGGCTGCCAAGGACGAGCGCAGGTACGAGGACCTCGAGTCACGCTCGGGTTCCTCCTGCGGGCGTTTAATTGCTCGGTCGTTCCGGGGCGTGAGCGGGCGGACTTGAGGCCCTCGTTTCTCGGGTCTCGCTTACATCCACATGGGATCGACAGTCCTCCACCGTTTGAATTCTTAAAGCCAAATCTATCAAACTGTCCTTAAATCGTAAGAAATTTATGCAAATCGTTAATGTTCGCGGGAGAAATTCTCGTCACAAAAAGCCGCGAGTCCAAAGATCACAAATATTTAAAAGCTATTAATCTGCTCGCGTTAGAATTATTAACGGGAGAAATTTTCCTTGTGATTCCGGAAGTAAGTTAGAATCAATTAATTTCGATTTAAATCAAGGAGCATCTACTTTAACATTAAAGAGTTACAAATTAATAAGCAGATGCAATTTAATTCCAAGGTACTGGACGACAATATTTTGTCCGAACAAATAATTTCAAAAGGATATTTTTCACATTTAGTTCTTCGAAGAATTATTATTTCATGATCCATTTCCAACTTCGTCTCAATGCTAATTGACTTTTATAAAATCTAATCTATAATTGCACTTATATATCTTTAATAAATACGCAATATTCTGAGCAGTTCTGCGAACCGTTTTCTTAATTAATACCTCGCGGGTGAGATACTCTCTTGATAATACGTTCAGCAGGAAGAAAAACAGGCACGATCGCTACAGGTTCCGGGTTCAGCAGTTTTTCCGCGAGACGATCTCTTTTCTCGGAAACGAGAAAAGGTGTCTGGCGGCAGCAATGACACGCTTCTCTTTCTCTCTCTCTCTCTGTCGAGTCTTACGATCGTTCCTCACCAGCACCGCGTCCTCAGTACGGCTTCGATTGTAATCGCCTGGTGCCAACGCGAATGCGTACGTCTGTCGCGCTGGATTCCACGACATTAAGCCCCCTTTACGGCCTCTAAGACCCGCTTTGTTTACGGGATCTCAATGCCAAATAAATGGACGTGACACGCCAAGCGTCGGTGTCACGTTTCACGATCGGCCGCAATCAAGTCCGAAAGAAGAAGGACCGACAGTTATGTCAATAATCAATATCTGTAGAAGCTTAATTAAATTTTTTAACTAACAAGAATATTCCTCAAGTCGCCGGCGGTAATTAACAACTTCAGTATTCTCTTGACCATGTCTGGCACTTTTAACAATACAGAAAATTTATTGCGAAAAATATTACCTCAGCCAGGGTTTGAACCTGGACCTCCCTACACTCTAGGCGGGGCGTCTCACCAATTCGACCACTGAGGCACGTACGTTTTCCGTATTATTAAAAATGCCAGATGTGCAGTCAAGAAAATATCGAAGTTGTATTTTTAACTTCGTTAAATTATCATCCTACCCGGTTCATTAAATCACCTCTCTCATTAGGGATTAACAGGTTAGCCGGATTAAAAATGTTTATCGAGCTTTTCGACTCGACGTTCAACTGCAGGGGATGATTAATTGTTGTACCCGCGGGACGGCGTAAAGCGTTTTAGGAATGAAGATCGCTAATTGCAGTTTCTCCCCGCGATGATAAGCTGAAAACACCTTTCTCAAAGGCTAACTACCTTTAAGGCGGACGTTATCACACGGCGTTACGTCATCGCGTGAGCGAGCCCGTCTTTATCAAGCTGGAATTAATTATATAGACTGCGGCTCGGCCGACACTGATAAGTAACACGCCTGCACGTATACAACACGCATACACGAGCACGTGTTTATTATGCATGGACATGAGTCAGTTGATTTCATTGTTTAATTCATTAAATTAAAAGTCGAGGGGATTAGAAAATAGATTTAGAGCTTCCTTTTTTTTGGGCCAATTATTACGTTTGACAGAACATCGATTGCTGACTATGGATGCTTATCTCATTACTGCGATCTTGTGTCCTATTTTTACAATGATTCTGTAGGACGCTTCACAGCACGTGAGTCACGATTCAAAATAGAGGAACTCTGTGTAGAAAGAATGGATTGTATCGTATCGCATTTCTGCAGCTTGACGCGAATATTTTGCAGCATTCAGCCCGAAATGTCTACATTGGCGTTTTTCTAGATTTAAGCACATCTTAGCTACTTTTTGATAAGGTTTGGAGGAAAACAATTGGAATCGACGAAGCATGTAGTTTGTCGAATTTTCATACTTACGAGTACATGGAAAGACAACCCGGGGGATGATTTTGTAGTACGAGAGAAAGGATGTATAAAGATAATCACGTGATACGGCATTTAATTATTAATGTAATATAATTAATGCAGAAACGCGATTATCATGTTGGGGTAAAATTTCACTTCCTCCTTTTAACGTAACTTACATGAAACAACGTGGTCGATAATAATTCCATAAAGCAACTAAACGCGCGTCAACCTCACTTGTCATAATAGGGCCCGGTTTTTCCATTTTCTGGTTAAATGTTAACCTGAGGTTGGTCGACTACTTGTCACTTCTTGGACCATAGCATAGAAAAAGATGGAGAGTCGACTAACCTCTGGTTAACAGTTAATCAGAAAATAAAACACCGGGCCCAAGTAAATCAACTACAGAGAACAAAAGTAAACTCATCTTTTTCCCATTCCGAGTCCCGCTTATTTGTCACGGCGAGTTTATTAGCTCGCGACAGGGGGTGGCGAGCGCTCCGTCGTGAAATTAGAAGCTTAAATCATCCCCCGGTGCGCGGTCCTTCGATATCGGTTCCGTCATGTTTATTGGTTCGGATGTTCATGACTAAGTTTGGCGTTCGATTTTCTACTTTACAGCCCACGTGGCGTTTATGGGGCGAGGAAAGGGGCGACGGCGTCATATACACGGTATACCTAAAGAAGGTCCGATACCACCGGCCCACGAGAAGTCTCTCAGCATCGGTGAGCATGATCGAAGTATTTTTAATCCAGATTTTCAGCGTTTAGCAATTTTTACCGATTTAACTTGCCCTTTCTTATTGCGGTTCAATTGAGACGCGTTCACGAACGGTCCTCACAGTTTTTTAATTCGACAACCGTGGTCTTTCTCACAAAGAATTTAGAAGTTTCAAACATAATAGCTCTTGTGTTCGTATCAAACAGGTTTTTATTTAAAGACCTTTATTTGAAAGCTTTTTTAAGGCTTTAATTTAAAAGATTCTAATGGGGATCGAAGCATGCGTTTGCTCTCGCGCTAACAGCTTTAACATCCAAGTAATGCGCCCGTTGCGACTTGCCAGGATTCTGACGACGAGATCTCGCACTTGGAATGGGAGACGGTGAGGGTGCGCTTCTTGAAGGCCGGCACGGTGCAGCGGCTGGTCGAGAGCCTGGCGAACGACGACGGCGAACTGGAGTCCACCTACATAAACATCTTCCTGGCGACGTACCGGGCGTTCACCAGCCCGCGTGAGGTGCTCGAGCTGCTGCTCGCGCGCTACGACGCCCTGGAGGGGAGCGCCGGCTGCGAGCAGCACCGCAAGACCCTGGTCCAGGCCCTGCACGTCTGGCTGGACGCTTACCCGGGTGACTGGAAGTCATCCCCCAGTTATCCCCTGCTCACCAGGCTACTCGAGTTCACGCAGCAGCGCCTCCTCGGCTCCGAGCTTGAGCTTAAGGCCAAGCACCGACTGCACCGGTTCCAGCGGGAGGATCAGATAGGTAACGTTATTTCTTCGGCTTATGAAGAGTGAATCACCCGTCGTTTCACCCGCCGTGAACTTTACACACGAAGAATTGTATAATTGATAAGGCACCGTGGGAAGTTCGAACACAAAGAATTATAATACTCCTAACTTGTAGATTCCGAGAACGCTCGGAAGGCATTGAAAAGTATAGGATATTGGATAGAAACGTTCTTGGTGCATTAGGTGTATTCTCAATATATTCTGTAGCAGTGTTAGGTATTTAAATGGTATCACGCCCTTTCAAGAGTGGTACGACTTATCCTATAAATCTCAAAGTTTTAGTTGAACTGAGAGAAAATGGGGCATTATACCGTTAGTTCGTTTGAACAAAAATAATATAATTAATATAACGGGTTTATCGTTTTATTTTAGGTTTTGCAAAACGTTCCTGCATTTTTGAGGCATTTTTGTTTTATTAATACAACACGTGGCTATCCGTTTCCAAGTTAAAAATTTAAAATTTCGAAATATATGATCCAGAATTGTCTTACATTTAAATAAACTTCGAAAATTTACGCCGCATGAACACGTCTATTGATTTTCGAAGGGCGAGTCTGACGATAGAATTGAGTAATAATAATACACATTGCTTGTGCAATTTGAACAATACGCCGGCGTGTTTTATTTACCGCGAATTCGCCGAACCGCGATAAGCGAGCAAAACATCCGCTGGGTTATTTCGAATGCAGTACTCGAAAAGAAAGGCCGAGCATTATCGCACGCGAACTCTGTAGGAACCCCAAATTATGAAACTTTCTCCTCGAACTCGTGCGAAAAAGAAAAATAGGACAGATTGGGTGGGTTCTTGCAGGTCTCGCAATGCCTCTCGACGTATCTCGCGAGTGTCCAGAAAAAGTTAAACGACGTATTTTACCGCGGCGCGAACAGCATTACGAAAGAATCATCCTATCGAGAATTCGGTGCACAGATAGAGAGTCTGAATGTTAACGGCGGTGAAAGGCCAATCAGGCTGCTCGTGCTCGCACAAAGGCGTCTGCTTCCCGTGTATAAATTGAGGGTCCACAGGCTCGGCTGTGCTGCCACGACCGGGGCAGGGTTCACCTTTCACTCAGGGCTCGCCTGATGGAGAACTCGATCCAGTTGCGATATTCCCAAAATAGAGACGGTTCTACTTAAAGCAATAAGAGAGAGAATATTTCGCCAAAATTCCGTGAACGAAAGTATTTGCATAAAAATAACTGCTTATCTTCAATAACAGGGGTTGCTATGGAATAATATTCTGGACATTTTAAAAGAAAAGTCTATCGACAAATTATTTGGTACATGTAATATAACTGAAATTCTAGTCTCACATAATTAGTATTAAAGGCTGCAAAAATGATTTAAATTATTTTGTAGCCTAATTAAATTTAGCAATAATTTATAGTTAAAAAATTGTAATGTACGCAAAATGATATAAGATAAGTGTTACACTTTGGTTAGAAACATATTATTATATTCTATCGATTCTAGATTAAGTCTTATTAATTTTGAATGAAGCCAGATTAATTTCAACCCCTCCTTTCTTCTTTCCTCTAGACTCCTGCATGGTGTACGACAATGGTCGACTACCCACGCGCGGTTCCCCGGATCCGATGGCGGATCACTGGGGGAACTACATCTTCCCCGAGGTGCCCCACCGTCACTTCGCCGAGCAGCTGACCCGCATGGACGCAGAGGTGTTCAAGAAGCTGGTCGCCCATCAGTGTCTCGGCGCCGTGTGGTCCAGGAAGGATCGTTCCAGGAGCCACGAGGCCGCCACGGTGCTGGCAACCGTAAACCAGTTCAACGCCGTCTCCCTGCGAGTGATCTCGACGATCCTGACGGACACGACGCTCAAGTCGCAGGAGCGCGCCAGGATCCTCGAGACGTGGATCGACGTGGCGCAGGAGTTGCGAGTACTAAAGAACTTCAGCAGTCTGAAGGCGATCGTCTCCGGCCTCCAGAGCAATCCGGTGTATCGGCTGGAGAAGTGCTGGCAGTGCATGCCACGGGAGAAGCACGAACTCTTCCGCGAACTCGAGAGGATATTCTCGGAGGAGAACAACGCCTGGACGCAAAGGGAATTACTCATCAAGGAGGGCACTGCCAAGTTCGCCGATACTGCCGGTAGAAGCGACAGGCATCTGCAGAAGCTCTTTCAGAAACAGAATACTCACGCGGGCGTAAGTGCGATAACATCGCTCTCTTTTGTGAGACCGCTCGACTTCTTTCTCAGCTTTTTGAAAAAATTGTATAGACATTTAAATTATGCCCGAAGAAAAATTGTAGTAGCGATGATGTAAAGGGGAAAATTATTCCCGTGTGGATTGTTACGCGGTGGAATAATAATATCTCGACATTTGGTTTTAAAAACTTTTGCATCTTTAAAGTTTGCCACTTTGTGGTATCTGAATTGAATGGAAAATTGCTTGAATACATTTTAACGAGGACCTAAATTACAAAATTATGATATCGAAAATAAAATATGCATAAAGCTAAACTTTATTTAATAATTTTATAATTAGAACTTGAAGTTTGAGTCTTGGTCTTACATCCCTAGACTCCGGACGTTGGTGAAATTATATTCTTAATACTGAACTCTATTCCGCCAAAGTGTGGTTTTAATTTTATTTGACAAAACTCCGTAACAAGATCTCACTTGATGAGGACCTAAATCAAAGGTCGAAACGTTGTGAAAGCGTGTTTAATATTTGTGGCCAGCTGAGGTCGATTAAAACTTGAAATTTTATTTATATTAATACTGACAATCTGATGAAATATACTAGTTAATTTTATAATATATATTTTTATATATTATATGTTTCATGTATCAACAATAATTATTATTAATTCCAAATTTATAGTAAACCACGAGCTGTGGTTGCGTTTAGTATCAGTTTGCGAATAATACTTTTAGACACACAAATTTATAATATATAAGCAGAGGAATGTGTAACACTCTCCTCAAACTGCTTCCTCTTGCAGCTTGGTAATTGCTCCTAAAACTTACTTGCAGAACATTAGCTACGGCACGATACCGTACCTAGGTACCTTCCTGACTGACCTCACCATGATCGACACTGCGATACAGGACACGATAGCCGACGGTCTCATCAACTTCGACAAGAGACGGAAAGAGTTCGAGGTGCTCGCCAGGATAAGGCTCCTGCAGGGCGCGGCGAACGCGTACAACTTCAGCACGGACCCCGTGTTCGATCGCTGGTTCCACTCGGTGGTGGTGCTGGACGATCGGGAAGCGTACAAACTCAGCTGCCAGATCGAGCCACCACCAGGGAACACTCTCAATAACCGCGGCAAGAAGAAACAGGTCAGCATCCTCTGTCTAATAAGAAAGGCCCCAATCCAATTTCTCCATAGGGTACACGAATACCGCCGAGTTTCTCAAGTAATCTGACTGCCGAAATTCCCGCGCCAAGACTGTACGCAACAAGTACGTCGGGCGGTAATATTAGATGACAATTATATTCCGAATACCCTTGAAATAAACACACATGTCGTATTATAAAAATCTATCTGCGACTGTCCACGAGGATCTGAGCGAGAACTGAATCTTGAGACTTGTCTTGCAGGGTCATCAAGGTCACCGGAAGAACGACTCGATCGCCTCGACGTCCAGTTCGAGCAGTTCGCAGTTTTACTGCGACCTCGACTCGCTCCCGAGCTCGCCGCACAACTCGCTGGACCGGCGCACCTCGCCGTCGCAGATGTCCAGCTCGTCCTCGAGCTCGTCCCTGCCGTCCCTGGACGTGTCCCTGAGCTCCGGCGGCGGTGGCGGCCACCAGACTCGCCTGGCACCGCCGGCGGGCGCCGTGGTGGCCAACGGCAGCACTCCCAATCTCGCCGGACTGTCCAGCCCCAGCCACTCGCACAAGAGCTCGCCGGAATTCTACATCATTAAGATCACCATGGAGACGGACAACGTGGAAACGCAGGGTGTGGTGCTGTACAAGTCGATAATGCTGTCGAACAACGAGCGGACGCCGCAGGTTATCCGGAACGCTATGCTGAAGCTCGGCCTCGAGGGCAGTCCCGATCAATACACCCTGGCCCAGGTGCTACCCGATAGGGAGATGGTGCTGCCCAACTCGGCCAACGTCTACTACGCTGTAAATACCGCGCACAATCTCAACTTCATACTGAGACAGAGGAGGGAGCCCAACGACGTGACCTCGGACAGTCCCAGGAGCAAGGGCAACGGACACAATCACAAAAGGTAGTCCGGAGACCGAGCAGCCCGCAACAGGAGGATCTCCGAAGTCTCCCGATGAGCGGACCCGACAGAGTTCTCGGACAGTTACGCGAACTGCGCGAAATTCGATCGACGATTGGTCCCCTGGTGAACGAGAGCGAAGTGGGGTCGATAGGAAGACAAGTGCGACCACCACGATCAGATATTAAACTGTAATATTACGCAGCATTTGTTAACATTTGATATTACGATATTGAGGCCAACGGTACGTTTATGGTTGGTGCCGCCGATAACAGTTGGCAATATTAATATTACTGATTGGCACCATCGATACGCCGTTGCCGATTAGTAATATTAACAGTACTACTTGCATAATAATGCAATTACAATACATATCAAAGTATTACAGCTTAATACCCGGTTCGCCATTAAGATATTCCATTGTAATTTAAAGAAAAAACGACGACTACTTATTTAATAGTTATACAATGTTACTCGCGTGAGGAAGCGACGATGTCACAATTAACGCAATCGATCGCGCAATCCTCGCTCTCCCTCTCTCTCTCTTTCTCTCTTTCTCTCTCTCTCTCTCTCTCTTTCTCTCCGTCGCGAATCGAAGAGCAAAGAGGGCGGAATCTCACCGTAATCGTGTTAATTAATTTGTTTATTAAGATTTACCATGACAAACCCGGTCGCCTCGCCTCCCCGAGGCGACGCGAGCGGTCGAGCGACGGGCCGAGCGAGGTACGATTAAGCGCGGTCACTCGTACGGCCGGAAGTGCGTAGGCTCACGCACGTATCGCACACGCATGCACGAGCGCACGTATGCACGCCACGCACACACGCACGTAATAACAAACGCACACGAGACTCGTACAGTATTCAGAGGAGCAGGGAGCTCGGCACAGTTGCGCAACCGAGCGAGCTGTTCTAGCATTATTCTAGGCGCGCGTTTAGCGTGAGTCACACACGCGAGGTTCTTATCGACGCCGCCGTGACGCAAACAAACGCCCGTATTTTTGCCGCTCCCGGGGCATCGCGACCAGGTGGAGCGTCCGCATTGTTAAACGCAATTTGCCTAATCCGCTCTGCAAAGAGATCACGCGGAGATCGTCGATCTGATTAGAGTAACTGGGGATTCACGAATGTCCTTTCTCGCAGGGCCGGGGCACAAAGCGACGTAATGGCTTTACGGCAGGACATAAACGTAGACAGCGCACAAGCTTTCGCGTAAATGTAATGTCGTGTGTAATTGGAAGTAAGTACGACATGTGTCAAAGCTCGTCTCTTTGTGCTCCGACCCGCGGATTACGAGGAGTGCGTTGGCGGCCACGTTTAGCGCTAAATACGGCCGGTCGAGCGACAATCGGCCCGACGTAAACGCGCCGACGAGATATTACAGGAAACGATTGTGCGCTAATTGTGCTCAAATGGAATTTAGATTTTTACTTTCTCCCGCGCGTCACGGGGGAGCCGTGTGTCTTTTGCGCCCCCACTCGCCGACTGATGTTTACGCTCGGCGATGCTAACGAAATATGATAATCGTGTCGAGATAGCAAGCACGTCCGTTTGTTGCGAGCACTAAACGTGCGGAGGTAGAAATCATATACTACTGGACAGCGTATTCCCGCCCGCCTTGTTCTATTGTTCTGGCCGTTGCCGAGTTAAGGGACAAGGGTAGAGTCTCTTGCAATGCGTACGACAGAGAAGTCTTCTCTCTAAAAGTCAATCACTGAAAACAGTGACTAGTCACTGATTTGCAGTTGCAAGTATACTCTGGGGAAAAAAAAGACAGTCGGCAACCCATTTTGGGGCCCACAATTAGTAATCGAATTATTTGGATTGTTCGTAACACTCTAATCTTTTACGAATTTTACCCGGCGTAACTAAAAATCGCAATTGGCTATTCTATTCAAGATGTAATACTAATCAATTCTGTCAATTGGTTCTGTCGATATTCAGTAACGCAAAGAAAATTTTTGCTTAAGAGGCACTAACCGAAATGTTAAGGGGATGCTGGA